TATATTTAGTTTGGTGCAAAATAGGGCCTAGATGCCTGCAAATGCATGCAAATGTTTGATAGGACAAGAGCAGCTCTCATGCCCTTATTTGTTGTTTGGTTAAGTGTGATGTTAGTAATGGAAATGTTGTCAGAATATTGTGTTTGATTTCTTGATGTACGTGAATATTGAAGTGGCACTCATATAAGATGACAATACTAGCAGTGGCCTCAAGCCAATTTGAGTTTGAGAACTCTGTGTAGTATTGCTGCTTTTACTTAAAAAAAATGATCTGGATACTTTTTCCACCACTGCAGAGACAATGATTTTAAAGTGCAGAACAAACTTATTTTTGAATTTTGAGTGCTTAAGTGCTTATTATAATTGCATAAATGTATGAATTAATTACAAATATAAGCTATTCAGATGTGTTGTTGTCATGGTTGTAACTGTATTACAGCATAATAAGACAAGGCAGGAGATTTAAAGCATAATTTAAGCCTATTAACACTAACTCACTATTGAGTATAATTCCCTGTGTGAATTGTACAAATATCACACAGTGATTATAAAAATACCCTTACTAATGAGTACTACAATGACTACGACAGTCGTTTAAAGAGTATTGCCGGGACATGGTGTTTAAGATTATTTGATTATTATCTGCCAGAGGACGTATGATGCTTTGTCAGTGTGGAGGGGCTTACGCTTGTGGGCGTGTCATTCCGGGGAGTGTCTGCATTCAGCCAATGAAACCTTAGAAGTGAGGTTGGTGGGCGTGGCCGCTCCGCCCACCCTATCCTGTCCCAGCTGCAGCACGCTTTTGTTCAAACTCAGAAGTCAGACAGTCGGTCCTCAACAGAGGTGCACTTTTACGTTACTTACTTAATGTGTTTATAACACGCTGACAACAACAGTGTCGCTCTTGTCGAGCGCATTGAATTCAATGTATTTTTAACCCGCAGGATACCAGTTTTGGAAACTAAATTAGTTTCTGTTGGACTTTGGTCGCGTGAAGTTGTTCAAACAGGCACAGCAAGGTGTCGCGAGCAAATCAACTGGAGTGCTGGAAGCGGGGAGGAATTTTCCTTGAACCAGTTCTCTGTCGGTTTTGTTGGAGTGTGACTGCTGTCATGTACACTTAGACATTTTACATGTTCTTTGACAGAAAAGAGAGAGTAAGCTTATGCTACCCTTCATCCTCCTCGCTGGATATCTATGGAGAGGGGGTCCTCCTGTATGCTCTCTCGCAGCTCTTGGAGTTACTTGCGGCCGAAGCAACACCGTGAGTGTTGAATTCACCGACCTGGATAGCAGAGACGACACACTTAACCTTATTTGAATGCCTTTGCAAGGAGTTTGCTGGTTTCTGTGCTGCAGGCAGGGCTTTAATTTGCTCGGACGGGACTATGGGGAGAAAGAGGAGGAAGAGTCTTTTGAATTGCGCAACAAGGAGGACTTGACTCCCAATGGACGGGTAAAAAATCTCCACCTGCACCACACATAACTCATATGCATGGATCCTTAATGTACACTGTACCTAGCATCATGTAATTCAGTACATACATTTAAATGTCTTGTAGGGACTGTAAAGTCTGCTGTACGTCTTGCACATTATACCATGCACATTTCATATAACAGGGTCAACTTCCAAGAGCGTAATTTCAAATTTGTGCAAACACATGTGGTTACAGTTCTTGATATGGCAATGATTACTGTTGAAAAATAGGCTAAACATGGGTTGGAGTTTCAATGTATGATAAGAAATGCAACATGTGTTCATAGGATTGCCCATATTATTATGAAGTAGCAAGCTGCAGTGATCACGTCAGCTGTTATCACCTTGCTGTCTACAGGAATGATCAACTTGTTCAATGCGAGCATCTGTTACAGATGCTGAATACAGAATGTGATGCTGCTGCTGGTCACTTTGATGTTCAGGTTTGCATGGTCTTGGAGGCTTGGGCAACATTGAGCAATCTCTCACTCAC